GTTCCCGCACTTACTACAAAGTTGCTAAGCTTGTTCCACTCGTCCACCACCCTATTTGTGAACCAGTTCCTTCCTATCTCCCTCCTAAACCTAAACTTATCCAACTTGAATCCGTTGCTCCGAGTCCTATCCTGCTCGGATATTATAAGAACTTTATCTATATCCCCTTTATTGATTCCTTTCACCCACTAAATACTTCTATCATATCTCCCCGCACTCTTCGTCTTTCTAGGGAATGCAAGTTAAGTTTCTTTAACCTATCCTGATATGGAAGGTTTCTAAGTCCCGGAATCATTTTTGTCATTCTTCGCTGCACCGACTCTAGTGAATTTATATCCATTCTATAATAGGGGCACCAGAACTGAACCGCATTATCGAGGTGCGGCCTGACTAGCGCAAGATATAATTGCAATAAGACCTCTGCACTCTTGTTACTTACACTTCTAGATATAAAACCCAATACTCTGTTTGCCTTATTTCGAACATTAACGCACTGTTTTGTAGGCCGTAGGTCCGGGCTTACAAGTACCCCTAGGTCTCTTTCACAAGTCGACTTCTCTAGGTTGATGTTGTTAAGGCTGTATACATTATAAGTATTTGTTCTTCCAATATTAAGTACGCTGCACTTGCTGGTGTTGAATTTCATCTGCCATTTTTCAGACCACCCCTGCAGTTTATTTAGATCCTCCTGTAATGCATTTGCATCCTGCCCTGAATTAATTTGCCGCCCTATTTTGGTGTCATCCGCAAACTTGCTTATGTCACTGCTGATCCCAGTATCTAGATCGTTTATGTAGATTATGAACAAGAGTGGGCCTAGTACTGACCCCTGGGGAACCCCCACTGGTTACACGGCCCACTCAGATTTAACACCATCTACGCTGACCCTCTGCGTTCTATCGGTGAGCCATGATTTTATCCAATTTAAAACTTTCCCTCGATACCATGAGCCTTAATTTTCTCAGAAGCCTCTGATGCGGTACTCTGTCAAATGCTTTGCTAAAGTCTAAGTAAATAACATCGTAATTTTCGTCATTATCTACTACCTCGAAGACTTTCCTAAAAAACGTTAGCAGATTTGTTAGACAAGATTTTCCCTTTGTAAACCCATGTTGAGAGTCGTAGATTAATTTGCTTTTCTCTAGATGCGATCGGATGCTATCTCTTTCACTCTTGATTCTGTTACTCGTAGATATTACGTCCTGTTAGATACACTAGGAGTAACAAGTAATATATGTTTGTAATATCTTCAATGTTCATGCTCAAAATAAACACTTACCACCTTTTTCTGTTTATTAAAAAAATATAATAGTCTCCTAGGTTTTTGTACGGATTAACTGACACAGGGCTACGAGATTATGTAGGCTCAGGGCTAGAGCCGTCAGTTACAGGTCTAGGTGGTGTGTTGGCTATTCTTAGTCTGGCTATACCGGCAGTGAGTTAAATTCTTACCCGATAGGTTTTACTGGGCCGTGAAGGTGATCTGAATGTCACCTACCGACGTGACAGGAAATGTTGATTCAAAGTTATGAATTTCTGTGTAGAACATAACAAGATATGAACGATAATGGATCTTTGTTCCTATGTGTTAGTCAACCCGGGTAGTGTGTTTGTTGTATATAAACACAATATGTAAATAGCCCGATTTTAAGTAAGTACTATAGATTTTTATATAGACAAAGGCTATTAGAAATACTATTATAGACAGTAATATATCATATGGTACAACTTATTATATTTTATCTAATGCATCCTTCACAGTCCTAGCATAGTAAAACTTCATATCAGTTAAGTTTAATCTAGACTAGTTTAACTTAGACTAGTTTAGACTAGACTAGTTGAGTTAGGACTAGTTTAACTTAGACTAGTTTAGTTTAGACTAATTTAGACTAGACTAGTTTAGACTAGAATAGTTTAGACTAGTTGAGTTTAGACAAGTTTAGTTTAAACTAGTTGAGTTTAGACTAGAATAGTTTAGTTTAGACTAGTTGATTTTAGACTAGTTAAGACTAATTGAGTTTAAACTAGTTTAGGCTAGAGTAGTTTAGTTTAGACTAGTTGATTTTAGAATAGTTAAGACTAATTGAGTTTAAACTAGTTTAGGCTAGAGTAGTTTAGTTTAATAAGCATTATGTTGCTGAAATTTCATGAAAAAAATCCGTATAAATTGAAATTACCGCTATGACGCTATTTCAGTCAAGGAAATAATATACAACCTATGGTACAATAATTATTTCATATATTCATTATTAACTAAGTCCAATTCCCTACTTCACCTTGTCTCCCACTATACACCTGGGTATATTAATCCAAACTCAAGGTCTATGTCACCTGTATATCACGTCGTTAAGTAGATCTTCAAATCACATATATTTTTTATGTGTGCATAAGCTCCTCGTCTAAACCCTTTCATCTCTGTCCCCTAACCTTATCATTTCTCCCAAAAGGTGAATTAGCAGCATACCTTTCATACATGTTTAACTGACTCTTATAATCTGGTTCTCATTCCCACTATACCATCATATTAATGTTTATATTAATCACTTAACTTCCCCTATTAAGGTTCTCCCATTACAGTATAACTATTTTACATTATACGGAACGTTCTGAAACATTCATTAGCTTATATCAACATTTCTCTTGTAAGCTGTTTCCATTTCACAATATCAAGCTTGTATTAATTAACTGTTTGTTGTTGTTCGCTACTAAAGGGAAAATACTGAGTCTAACAATACTAAAAACTATTCACCATATATACGGTTAAGGGGAGAGGAAGGGCTGGATAATATTTAATGCTTTGATTTTTGTTTTTCTCTTCTGTTGTCTTTATTATTTATACATATTCTTAGAGTATTAATATTATCAGCTCTGTGTATTATTAACTCACTAACTGACACACCCACATATGGAGAAATATTTTATGTATAGCGTGATATTGTATGAGTGACGTGTACCCTGTTCTGCAATACATTATTCTCATTACCGTTGTTATTATTCCTTACCAGAATTATAATCTTATTTATTATGTTTTTAATTCAACCATTATCAATATTGTTAATTTTTTTGGCAATAGTAATTTACATTATTTAAGATTATCAATATATTAAAAACTAATTTTATTAATAAGTTAGTGTTAGGGAATGCAAGGAAAAGACAAACTCTGACCTTATGTGACATTTAACACAACAGAGCAATGAATCCTGGAAGTTCTAAATCTTGACACTTTGGTTCATTTCTAACATGTACACTGCACTGAATGTTGTCTTTAAATCAAGCACTCAGCCAAGTGCTGCATCAACACCCAGTATACGTAGTGTTCAGGCACCGGTCTGGTTATGGCGGTCACCTAGTATATTTCTTGGGATTTGATGTTAGTGGTGGAGGAATTTTAAAGCAATTTATCTTTTCTTAACCATTTTATATTATTTAAAATCCTTCTGCCGTGTGACAAGTGACTCTTCGAGGTATAGGTGAAGGTCATCAGCCACTAATATTCCTGGAATTGTGAGGGTAACCATGACAACATGTAGGGGTGTATTATTAAAGCGCCCAGTGTGTGTGTGTGTGTGTGTGTGTGTGTGTGTGTGTGTGTGTGTGTGTGTGTGTGTGTGTGTGTGTGTGTGTGTGTGTGTGTGTGTGTGTGTGTGTGTGTGTGTGTCTGTGTCCACTCTTGCATTCCCAGACTTTCAACATCTTCTCTTACTCCTCATCCTCTATTTCTTTCTCATTTTCCTTCTTCTCGCCAGAGCTCTCCCCCAGATATGAGTATAATGTGGTGTGTGTGGTGTGTTTGCCACCACCACCACCACTTCCCGCCATCACCACCACCATAACACCGCCCCCACAACACCACCACCACAACACCACCACCACCACCACCACTACCACTGTACCGCCGCTACACCTACTTACTATGCTAACAGAGTTTGTGGTAAGTCCTCCCGGCCATCAGGCAACTGGGAGATGGTCGGAGAACAACAACGAGAGATGCTGTGTTGGGGGACCGTGTACCTCCCATCCCTCCCTCACTCTCCTGTTCCTTCCTCCCTCGCTCCCCTCTTCTCCCTCACTCTCCTTTATTCCTTTAGCTCCCCTTTCTCCTTCCTTGTGAAAAAAGAAGGGGAGAGAAACTAATTCTCAGGAAGAGTTTTGGGGAGGCCTGTAAACAAACGAAAGAGGAGAAGGGAGGTAGGAAGCTCTTGAATATTTGGTAGACGACTGGTGAGGAGAATCTAAACATCTTTGGGAGGTTATAAACACTCTATGAGAGGATCATAAACACCTTCTGAAAGATATTATACATCTTGGACAAGTTTGTAAACATTTTGATGAGGATTCTAGGCATTTTGGAAAGGATTCTATACACTTTGTACAGGGTACTAAATACCCCTATATAGATTCTAATCATATTTGAGAATATTTTAATAATTTTTACTCAACTATAAACATCTGTGAAGATTGTAAACATATGTCTAGAACTGAAGAAATTATATAATACCACATAACATAAAACACTGATATATCACAGTAGGAGAAACGAAACACTGACGAAACAACAACACTGTACAGTATATTTCTACCCCAATCTATGGTCCTCTTCAGCAGTGTGACAAGAACAACAAAGGCAGGTTAAATAGCTTTATCCTAATATAAACTCATGAAAAAATCTTTAAAACAGTCTCAAAACAACAGTGTCTTTCCCTGTCAACAAGACTAAGTTATCTCAGGTGTACAGAAGACCTGAGGACACAAGCTTGGGTAGTCTGCAAGTGATCACTACATGTTAGAAAAGTATCACACACACACACACACACACACACACACACACACACACACACACACACATCTGGAATTTAATATATGTAATACACACACTTGGGAGTAAATACACATTATATATATATATATATATATATATATATATATATATATATATATATATATATATATATATATATATATATATATATATATATATATATATATATATACTTCTGGAAGTTGACACACAATACACACATATCTGGTAATTAGTAAACATCACACACACACAGAGGACCATGTGTACATCAAACAAACGCATGTACTGTAAATTAACGTACACAATATACACTATAGTGTAACAGTACATATTAAAAACACGTGTGGTAGTTTGTCAACATTATACACACATATGTGAAAGTGTACATACTTCAAACGTATTCGGAAATAAAATACACAGAAATTTAGGCAGCGAATTCGAGGTTAGCGTTATATGAGTGTGTGTCCTGGGAGTGGAGTATACACACACCTGATGGTATGCCATGAAAACGGAGTACGTGTGCAAACATGAGTTTTTGACCTGGGCGTAGAATGTATACATAATGAAGTGTATATCCTACTCATGGTGTACGCATATGCTTGAGTGTATTTCCTGCATATGAATTATACACATAATTGGGTTTAAGTTTTAGATGTTGAGTATACAAACACACGAGAGAATGTATTGGTCAAAAGTGATATATGTCTGCAGTACAAAATATAACACAGACAACTTCTAGACCTGCACACACAACTCTCCACCACGTCTGCTGCTCAGTACATCGTAACTAGTGCCACTCTACACACAAAATGGCTAAATGATACCAAATTCAGCTTCAAAAGTTCTAAAATATATATGTTTACAAATACAATGTGAGAGATCTTATTTACACGATGTAGCGGCAAACAAATCATCAACTTTAGAAGGGGAGTGAAGTGATGCTCTAAATTCTTATGGGAAAGAAAACCAAAGAGGATTCGTGTGAGTTGTTTACAAGGAATAGATCTTCAGGTTTAGGATGTGAGTTGGGTAAAACTTTGAAATAGAATTGACTGTGTATGCCGGAGTAGATTTAGTAGAGCTCTGTGAAGTGCAAACAACAAGTGGTAAGTTAGTGGATAAAAAATAAATAAAAATTGCAGGTATTTTGAGGTCAACTGTATCGAGAATGCAACATGTATCCAGAACACTGTATTTTATTCTTTATGGTAATTTAGAACTTTTAGGCATGAGAAACAATTACTGAAGGAAGGTAACAGATAATGAAGGACACTAAACAGAGTTATCATATGACCAATTTGGTTATTAAATGGTTCACTTTGATGTAACCTTCAGACTTGTGATTAGTCGTCTTAATGAAGGTAATTTATACAGGTCAGAATCGTTTTCTTTTAACTATCGAGTATTCTGAAAATGTACAGAGGGGTAAAATATTGACATTTATATCGCACTAATACATAACTTCTAAGACTGCTAGAGACAAATTAGTTTCCTTTCATAACTGTTTGTCTTATGAAACCTGTATCTCGATAAAACCTTGACGAAGACTGATTTATGTTGTGCAGGTATATGTAATATCCGCAGTAATAACAGAATATTTAGAAATATCTGATTGAATATTCATTTTCCGAGTGAATTTTTCAAGATTTTCTAGGCATCATAATTACTTAAAATCGTCAGATATGAAAATACACGAATATCTGTGTTAAGATTATAATTCCAAGTAATAAATAAAGCCGCTACTCATTCCGAGATATAAAGTTCCTGCCTCTAGCGGACTGTACAGTCACTACTGAGTATATCAGGAGGTCGTGAAATACAAACACATCGGAGACACGCATTAAGCCTCGCCGTGACTGCCTTCATTGTTGAGGCAACATCCTGCCGGAACTGTCGACTACGCATGTTGTAAATCCAGGGATTCCACGATATACTGGCCACAAAGAACCATGCTGATAAGTATCTCTCTGTCTGCCTGTAGGTTGATTCAAAAAAGGTCTTCGCGATACCAATGCTGAATGGAAGAACAGATAGAAGAAAAAACAGAGTTATGAGTAACTGTGTTGTGAGTATATGGCGGGTCTCCTTTTCCCTGAATCCTGAGACTCTAATGCCGAGCTCCCGGAACTCCGCCTGCACTCGAGCTTCCTCCCGGAGGAAGCTAATGATCGCCAGCACTGAATATGTTATAGTTGATAAACACACTACTGAAAATAGTAGAATTTGCCCTCCATTGATGATGGTAAGCGAAATACCTTTACGAAGAAATGCCACTCCTATCGGTAATTTATGAAAAGTCGACCATCCTGCAGAGAACATATTGATCTTGTTGTCGTAGCATAGAAACATTGAGTCTAAAATTGCGACAATCCAGATGAGGAATATAAGTCCTTTGATGATGGGAACGGAGATGTATTCCCCATACTTAAGAGCATTACTGGTTAATATAAACCTCTCGACACTCAGGATAAAGATTGTCAAGAAGTTCACGATGGAAAATACGCTAAAGAAAAGTGCTTGGAGAAGAGGAAATCCTTGTGTTAGAATTTCATAATCACCCACTAGAAACCCAGTCTCAACTGTATCCTCTGATAAAAGCTTATAATCTGGAGGAGTGAGGAAAGGAAGGAGGTGATAATACACAGAGGGGAGGACAACGAAGAGAGCCGTGAGAAGATCGGCGACTGCTAGGTTGGTGCGGAGTAAACTGGACGCCTCACCTCGGTGTCCGCCGCCCACCATTACCGCGACCACCACCAGGTTACCCACCACCCCGCTCACAGCCACACACGTCACCATCACCACCAGCAACACCTCACCTGCCAGGCACGACCTCGGCAGGTAACTCCAGCCACCATGTAGCCCGTGTTTATCTGGCTCCCCCGCCCACGATATTGTGTACAAAGGGTAGCAGGAAGACCAGTGGGTGTTGGTTGTTATATACAATGTCTCATTGTTTATAAAATTCTTTAAAGGGTTCCAGGTCTGCATGCACCTCCCGCCTTCCCCATAACGATGTAAATTTTGAATCTGGAAACGAATTCTGTTCATCTTTCTTTCAATAACAAAATATGTACCGTTGCAAATTTTCTCTAAGCAATCTGTGTAACCATTGTAAAAGTTCCGCAATACTAGAGTAGCAAATTTTATAGGGTCCAAATCATCAGGTAATGGACAGGTGTGAGGATTAATAAATATAATTCTTGCGTCTCGGCATATAAATAAAAACTCATATTCATGACAGTCATTAAACTTCTGATGTAGAGGCAAGCAAATACTTATAAATGTTTTATCAACAAAAACTTCATAATGTCCAAGTTCATAATATTCTATAAATTTGTTATAAATTAGATAATAAACAAAGTGACACTGTTGAGTTGTATCTAGAAAAGTAGATGTGACCATTGTCTTATGTTCTCCACGCAGTACATCATCAGAACAACCATGAAACGTTGGAGAAAACTTATAAGGTGGATGATCACACAGGGTAAGCAAATTCTTCTCAGGGATAGCCTTAATATTAGCAGAAGATCTTCCAACTTGTCTCCGTTGACGATGATGGCTGTCGACGGTGTTTGATGGGACGTTGAACTTCTCTGCTGATAGTATGGGTGCTGCTGACAGTGTCGAAGGACTTGACACTTGCCTGGTCGGGGAGTTCTGTATATTGTTAACTTTATGAAACAGGTTTTCCAGTATGACTTGTCTTGTCGTGACAACTTCTGGTGAGGCTTCCAGTGTTGTTAATCCGCTGTATTCGGTTGTCCGGGTGATGATGTTTTCGTGGCCATCAAGTTCAAGTTTATTTAATTCCCAAACATTATGAAAAGGAACAAATATTGTCTCCTGAAACTTTTTTTCCTGTGTCCCTGGCCACACTTGTCCCTGACTCAGTAGTTCCTGTGTCCCTGGTGTCGCTGGCCACACTTGTCCCTGACTCAGTAGTTCCTGTGTCCCTGGTGTCCCTGGCCACACTTGTCCCTGACTCACTAGTTCCTGTGTCCCTGGTGTCCCTGGCCACACATGACCTGGGGTGTCTTGCTGTTGCTGCCCCTGATGTTCTTCTTGACCAGGTGAGGGCAGGGAGGGGGAGGCCAGGTGAGTCAACAACACTTGTCGCTGCCCACCTGTCTCCTCACCAACCAGGCCCAGGTGCCACATGAACAGCGTCAACAGTAGCGCGCCAGATATCAGGTGTTTCCCCAGCACGACCATAACTCACACCCACACCTGCCGGCCACCAGAAATTTATATATCATAATGAATTAAATGTAGAAAAATTGTGCAATATGATAATTTTTCCCTTTCATAATCTATAGTGATAAAAGAACGTGTGTGTGTGTGTGTGTGTGTGTGTGTGCGTGTGTGTGTGTGTGTGTGTGTGTGTGTGTGTGTGTGTGTGTGTGTGTGTGTGCTGACGGTCATGTTCGCACAATAGGTATTCTCAAGAACACAAAGTTATGTTTCACCAATTTACTTACGATGTGTTTGACGTTTTTACTTTCTTAAAAAAAGGTGGACACACAAAGAGAGAAAACGGGTGACTGATCTTTTCTAGTGACAACATTCCCATTTGTTTATGTATAGTAACATCATATCACCCCAATTTCTGGTACCTCATTGGAAGGGCCATAAACTACTAACTAGTCATTAACTGTGGTACTAAAGGGATGGAATTTAGCTCGGTCAACACTGAGATTAGTTATATGTAACACAACCCCCGTGGGACGTTAGCCAGACAGAGGAGAAGGAGAGGTGCTGGGTGGATGTGAAGACGACGTGTTGGGGTGTGGAAAGAGGTGCAAGAAGGCAAGAGATGTGTATGGGAGGATGACTAGACGAGGGAGATATTCTTGGCCGGTAGGAGGAGGAGGAGGAGGAGGAAGGTTTAAGAGTGACGAGAGTGGTGTGGTGGGTTGAGTCGAGAGAGAGACGTTGCTAGGGGTAAGTAAGAAATGTATGAGAGCGGGGAAAGGGATGAGTAGGGAATAGTTTGGGAGACGTGTAGAGTTATAATGAGTTATACAAGATGTTTGGGCGTTGAAGGAGAAGAATGCTAGGATTGGGTAGAGACTAGAATGATGTTTGTGAGTAGAGATAGATGAGGGGAGTGTAATAATAATAATAATAATAATAATAATAATAATAATAATAATAATAATAATAATAATAATAATAATAATAATAATAATAAACGGTCTATTGAGAGAACATGGCAGTGAAGAGACTAAGAACCCCCCCCCCCGCAATAAACAGAGATGATAACAGTGACATATGGTGACAATGGTGGAGCTTTCAGTAAAAAAGGAGAAGTAACATGGAATGAACATACAATTAAACTATAGATATGGGCAGCCGGTCGTGTAAACTGACTGGGGAGTTGATAGTGGTGCCTGAGGGGGACACATGTGTGGCTGAATGTGTGTTACCGTCATCTAGTATTATCATATTAAACATAATGATTTAACTCATAACATTCCGTCTTTGTCTTAAATAATATGTCCATCCAATGAGGCTACGGTATATGTTAATGGCGGAAAAAAAATAGTGTAATATTATGTTATTATGTAATGTTATAATTGTATAGAAGTTAAAGATTCATTACCTTGAAAACTCCCACCTGTTACAGATGTTGAGAAAGTCAATGGAAGTTTGCCCAGGAGTCCTTGTTTGATTCACATGAGTTAAATTAAAATCAACAGCTAGGAGACACCAGGCGTAAAGACACTGAACACGAAGATCCTCATGAAAGCACTCTAACAGCAGTGACTGAGCCAAAAAATAACCCGAGTGACTAATACCTTCACTTAACACTGAGTGGCAACGCTTGAACACCGGATGTCTTTCGGGGAACCTGCAGGAAATGTAATGTCCCCTTTGTTCAGCCCTGACTTCCATTTATACACATCTCTATCATATCTCCCCTCACTCTACGTCTCTCGAGGGAGTGCAAATTAAGATGCTTTAACCTGTCTCTGGAAAATAATTCAATGATATTTTTTTTTAATATTTATTAAAACACCAGATTATACAACATACTTTTGATTACTAAAAATATCGTTGTGGTATTAATTCACAATCACAATTCACACCAATACGTCGTGTTGGTATTGATTTAAAGTTCACACTTCACTGTATTGGTCAAAATAGATGAACGCTGAGACATACAAGTAACCTTACAGAATATTTAAGGATTCACCTTCAACACTGTCTGTACACTCTTGAAGTAATGTCAAACATCACTCAAACAGGAAAGATCCCCGTGGTTATCGTCAGTAAGATGCAGTCTACTGTCATCACCTGAGCACTTCCAGTGTACAGTATCAGGGTGCACAGGGTTATCACTAGGATCCTTTGAAAGATGTCTTGTTGTTCACAAGGAATCTACATCTCTCGTAGAGAGGTTTAGATCAAGTGAAATCAGCCACCGTGCTAGGCCTTTTATATAAGATCAAATGTTCCACGGTGTTAACTCTCTCATGCCAAAGCAACTTGGATTATAATCATAGCTGCGCCGACTACCGTTAGTTCATTTCGAGCAAAGGTGTAAGTCCTGCGGCCGCACGTCCTGTGACAAGTTGACAAGTTGACAGACTGCCCGAGGCCTAGACAGTTACGCCCGGTCAAAGCAGCTCTTACAAATTATTAACAGTATGTAAAAATTTATTGTATGTGGGAGGATACATCCCTACAATTTAAGATAGGTCAAATAGGTCAACTTAGATTTGTTTTGGTTAGGTAAGATTAGGTCAGGTTAGGTGAAAGTATATTCTGGTTAAGAGAAAATTCAATTGTTTTCACTTCCTTCTCAAAGTTTTAATCTAAATTCTCTGTATTTGTATCTGTGTATCTCTTAACAGTAATTTCACAAACTACTTAACACACTAAAGTCATATTCACATCAATGTTAGGGTAATGTGGAGATGAAATGAGTGGTGGGGGCGTGGTGAGGCGTGGGGGATGAAGTGGGGCGTGAGGGGTGAAGTGGGGCGTGAGGGGTGAACTGGGGCGTGAGGGATGAAGTGGGGCGTGAGGGTGAAGTGGGGCGTGAGGGTGAAGTGGTGCGAGATGGGTGAAGTGGGGCGTGAGGGGCATAGTGCGGCGTGAGGGGCGTAGTGGGGCGTGAGGGAGGAGTGGGGCGTGAGGGGTGAAGTGGGGCGTGAGGGTGAAGTGGGGCGGAGGGGCATAGTGCGGCGTGAGGGGCGTAGTGGGGCGTGAGGGAGAAGTGGGGCGTGAGGGTGAAGTGGGGCGGGAGGGGTGAAGTGGGCGGGAGGGGTGAAATGGTGGGGCGTGAGGGGGTGAAGTGGGGCGTGAGGGGTGTAGGGGCGTGAGGGGGCGGAGCGTAGGGGGACGTGGGGGCTGGGCGTGAGGGGGGCGTGGGTGGGCGGGACGGGGGCGCAGCGGACACGGGTGTTGTCTGTAGGATGGGTACCGGTTAATTAATATTCAGCCCATGTCTCAACTGTTTACACTTTGTAGTCATGAATCAAATTTCTCGGTGGTTTTACGTGGATGCAGAATATAAATGTCTACTTTCCACACACACACACACACACACACACACACACACACACACACACACACACACACACACACACACACACGAGAGAGAGAGAGAGAGAGAGAGAGAGAGAGAGTGTGTGTGAGTGTATAATAATAATAATAATAATAATAAACGCTTTAATAATAGAGTTGCAGCCGGTGGCTGAAAATATACAGACTTACATTTGATTTAGACATAATGATATAATATGCATCGAATACATTTACAGGGCTGTACAGTACATAAATCAGGAGTTGTTTATTATTTTAACAATAGATGGGATGGTGCTGTTCTTATATCTATCGGTGCGGGCTCTTATGGGCTGAATTTTGTTGTAGTGGCGGACTGAGCGAGTTGGGTGGGGGCTGCAGGTGGCAGGAGGTGGCGATGCCGAGGGTGGTGCAGTAGTCCCCTGCCAAACCTTTCCAGTGCTTGGTGGAGAGAGTGTTGGTGTAGCCGGAATATTCTACACCGAGCATGATTCTGCAGGCCCTTTTCTGTACCTTCTCTAGCTGACGTTGTTGGGTGGAGTTGAGAGAAGACGACCAGGTTGGTGACGCATACGTTAGTTTGGGGAGAATAAAGGCGTTGTAGATGGTCCTCAGCTCTGGCGTGGGTGTCCCAAGTGACCTAAGTCTTCGTAGCATATAGAGACGGTACGAGGCTGCCTTGACTGTGTTATTTATATGGGCCTTCCAGTCAAGTTTGTTGTCTATAGTTACACCGAGGAGTTTGGCAGACTGCACCAGCTGGAGAGGATGGGCACCCACTGTGACTGCTGGGGCTTGCACTGGAGTGGTGGCGGTATTGATGTGCATGACTACGGTTTTGGTGTGGTTGATGGTGACCTTGTTCTCCGTAGTCCATGCCTGTAGCCTGTCCAGGGTGCCTTGTAGCGATGAGTAGTCTGGTGCGGTGTTGTCCACTGAAACCCCCACAGTGCAGTCATCCACGTACTTCCACCTGTGAGGAGTGTCCGATAGAGCGTCGTTGATCAGGATGTGTGTGTGTGTGTGTAGGGTATACAGAAGATGGGCAAAGTAGTACTGGAGTAAAAGAATATAAGGGTAATAAGATTCATGGCGTATAACTTGTAATTTTATCAGCAAGAGTTATGAAAAAATCACCTTTTGCCCTTTCCCATATGTGAAAAATTCGAGTTGTGATTTGACATTAAAAACAAAAAAGGTTTGGTTATATTTCAGGGACTTCATGAATATAACCTGCAAAGCCTATCTCATTTGTGTAAGATAAGGCCGGGGAATATTTACTGCCACATGAGAGAGAACAAAACCCTAAGACAAGAGAGATTAAAATATGAAAGAAATAAAAGAACAATAACAACGGTAAAAGTGTAAAAAAGAAAAAGAAAAAGAAAATGCAGCCACTTGATGTATGTTTTCTGGCTCTCAGGAACACCCAGGTAAACAAGGAAGCATTTTACCGGTTACGAAAATATTAAGACACATACCCTATCCCCAAGACGCGAGGGTATGTCACAGATAAATTGTTTTGGGCTTGTTAATCATTTGTGTAAAGATCATAAAAAAAGTAAAGCAAACGTTATAGTTTTCTCCCTCAACGAAAGATTTTATTAATATTTACCTCAATATTTTTCTCGATATCGGAAAAAAGTCAGGGTTTTTCACTCTATACTGTAAGACGAAGCTTCAACCGCGTGAACGCCCCAGGTCAGGTTGGAATTGGTTTTACACATCAATAGCGGTAGATCTCCATAAAGACTCTGGCATCGCTACTAAAGGAATGTTGTCTGGCTCACTGGGGGAGACAGGTGAGTAATGCTACTCTTGAGTGCTCTTAACCTCCTGGAACTTTAAAGAGGTTGTGGCTTTACTTGGCTCAGCGGTAATGACCCACGTAAAAACATATCACCTTCCTCCTTATTTCCCTCTTCTACTTTCCCTCTGCTCAGTCCTACAAACAATTCCTTAAAGACTTGTCTCTTCAGTGACAGACGTCAAACTTGAGACTTTCCGAATTTACTGTTACTCATTGTATAAATATACACTGTGGCCAGACTATTGTGACATATTTAAACGTTTCCGTCACAGAGAAATATTTAAGTGAATAATAAAATAATCCCAAGAAGAGACCCTTTTGTTGACCAAGGATGAAGAATTCTCCAAGATGCTGCAGGAACTCTCAACCTGTTTTGTGAGTGCGCGCGCGCGCGCGTGTGTGTGTGTGTGTGTGTGTGTGTGTGTGTGTGTGTGTGTGTGTGTGGAGTGTGTGTGTGTGTGTGTGTGTGTGTGTGTGCGCCCTAGATGGAACGGATGTAGCTTATTATAGAGTGTTTGTAAAGCAGTTGTTTCCACTTTGTGTTAAACATTTGAGGTTACTCTTTCACTCTCCTTTGCTCACCCTCACTATATACCCTCCCTCACTATCCCTTTGTTACCTCCCTCCTGCTTCCTCCTCTGCTCACCTCCTCTCCTCTGCTCCCTTCCTCTCCCTCCCTCACCTCTGCTCACCCTCACCTCCTCCCTCCCTCCTCTGCTCACTCTCACTATCCCACCCTCCCTCACTCCCTCTGCTCACCCTCTACCTCCCTCCTCCCTCCTCTCCTCTGCTCACCCTCACCATCCTACCTCCCTCCTCTCCCTCTCCTCCCTCTCCCACCTCCCTCCCACCCTCCCTCACCTCCCTCTCACCCTCACTATCCTACCCTCCTCCTCCCTCCTCACTATCCCCCTCCCCTCACTCCCTCTGCTCACCTACCTCCTCCCTCTCCCCCTGCTCCCTCACATCCTACCCTCCCTCACCTCTGCTCACCCTCACCTCCTACCCCTCCCCACCTCCCTCTCTGCTCACCCTCACCTCCCACCCTTCCTCACTCTCCTCTGCTCACCTCACCATCCTACCTCCCCTCCCTCCTGCTCCCTCACCATCCCCTCCTCCTCTGCTCCTCACCTCCTCCCTCCCTCTGCTCGCCCTCACCATCCCACCTCCCTCACCCCTCTGCTCACCCTCACCATCCTACCCTTCCTCCTCTCCTCTGCTCGCCCTCACTACCCCTCCTCCTCCTGCTCCCTCTGCTCCCCCCCTTCCTCCCTCCCCTCCCTTCCCCCTACCCCTCCCTCTGCCCTTACCTGCCCACCCTCCTCTGCCCCCTTACTCTGCCCTTCTCTGCCCACCCACTCTGCCCCCTCCTCTGCCCACCACTCTGCCCACCCTCCTCTGCCCAC